AAGTACCGCAGAACTAAACATATTGTCAGCGAAATTTTTGTACGTATTGGGTACATCTGAATTACATGGTAATAAAACTTATTCCAGTTTCAAGGCAAACTGGTCTTCAGTATAAAAATTCATATGTATAGTCAGCTAGTATCTATTTTAATACTGCTGAGATATTTTTAAATCCAACTATTTTATCTCTATGACCAGATATTATTTAAGGCCCCAAAAAGAATGTCTGGTGTTATTTGTAGGGCTGCTAAATCTTATCAGATGACGATGCACCTCTCTAAGTCAATAGGGAAATGTGAATTGGGTTCGAATCACAGTAGACACAAATGTTTCATAACAGAGGCTAGCCTCTTAAAGCAATGCTAACACAGTTCCGGTAGAAGAACTTGACACGCTTATATAATTCTAAATCTTGGCTGGTTCTATTTAAAGGTAGTATGTACCGTGCAAACATCAAAGTAAAGGCTGGCAACGTTTTTCACAAAAAAAATTATATCGATATTGAACAACCTACACCACAACGAAATTATAGTGCATAGTAAAATATCTGATTGGGCATATAGTGACGGGAACCACTTGCCATAGGCACATAGCAAGTGGACCCGAACTTGCTAATTTGTATTTTAGACTTCGGAAGAGACGACCATGCAGCTGTTCACTCAGAGCAAGATTTCAAAGTTACTTGGAAAAAACGACTTGCCCTTAGAATTGTTCTGTCCTTACCCACAAGCCTAGAAATAGAGTTATCCAATAGCTTAGAAAACAGTCATAAGCAGTCCACAATCTAAGATTTGCAGTACTTCTCGTTGTAGGGTCTAAAAGAGAATCCTGTAAGCGAAGAATACATGGCCATACGGCAAATTTTATATCTTCAATCGAAATCTTAATCATGCTTCTTAGAATAAAGATCTTAGAGCCATACACCGAAAGCTTCTTCCGAAAACCTGTGAAAATTGGAGGCTACACTGCAATATGCCCCGGAATAATTGCTATTAGAAATAATCAGTAAGGCACGATCCAGCTCGTACAAATCTGTGAAGGCATACAAATTGATGAAATTCGAATACAGCCTGCAATACAGATTCTTGATGCCTTTCTTACGTAGGGTTTTGCTTCCAAGGAGCCAGACCCAGTAAGCATGCAGCAAACCGAACGGATCCGAATCAAGGCTATTTTTTTATCACGCTATTATCAAGAAAGCGATTCAAAGTAAGGGGAGTAATCCGTGGCTGGGTAAAGACGGTGGGAAGTGGCGTCAATCGGTCACATACTTAGCAAGTCTTTAAAAGTTCGGTCACCATTCCGACTCGAGGGTATCCGTCTTGAAATCGCTCTGCAGAATACCTTATGAAAATCAAGAGCTGTGCTCTATCATAGTAATGCTGTTATGTTTATTAGTGATTATGTCCCGTGACAAGCAATCACAGCCAAATTTGGGTGTTTCACACCGACGAGCTAGACAGATTCATGTCTATATGAGTCGGAGGTAGCCAAATCAAAAATAGTTAAACGGTGAAGATACTGTCGATTTTCACACGAATATAACTCGATTAATAAAGCAATTTTACGTTAGCATCTGAAGACAGAGGTGCATAGTGCAGTTCCATGGTTTGGTTGTTAACCTGTAGTTAAAGTTCCCACAATAGTTTAGTGGAATGTTCTAATGCTACATCGTTCCGTATGCCATGAGCTTTTACATTCTACAATAAGTGTGTTTTATTATTATTATAATATCATGATTAATGAGAATAAAATGGTTTCATACAATTTTTGTACAAATTTTGATCGTCTTGCATCGTTGATTGAATGCAAGTTGGGTTGACTACTATATGATGCATCCACTGAGCAATGTGAAGGGTACCTTGTCGCTGTTACTAGTGCAATACTGAAGAACATAACCTTAATATAATCGTGTATTTGTACCGGTAAAATAATTTAAAACATTAGGTCAATTTTTAGTTTAAGAATAAGTTTAATTTTTAGAGTTGTCACACAAAAATTACCTCTATCCACTATATACATCTAAATAAGCCCTTTGAACTTTTTGAAAGCGCTGGATCCCAGTACAAAATGAAGTGTGTTTAGTCCCGGTTTTAAAAATTAGGCTCAAATTTTCTTCGTGCAGTTAAATTCTGTGGATTAAATTTTTAACTATTAAGCTTATGTACAGTATGTAACCAAGAAGGTTTTTTTCGATAATTGTTTATCTGAAAAATGCTTCAATTTTGTTAATTTTTCGAATTCACTTTCCGAACCTGGACCACATCCTGCCATATCAACCATACTTTTATTTTATTTTATTGTTTCTTTTTATTTTAACGCATTGTTTATGATCAGCAGTAAATGATATGACAAAGTAAGTAAACCTGGAAAACTTGAGAAAAGCATGGAATAATTTCAAGCTCTTCAACTCCTTACACGAAACCGAAGTTTCTGCTAAATGTTTTTACCTGCCTTTCAATTAATATACTAGCTAGATATGAATAAAATGAACAAAAAAGGAACAAATGTATATATTAAAAAAAATTAGAGTTCACATGGGTGTAATACAAAATGGTAGGGTCGATATGGTTTGATAATCAAATTTCCCCTATCTGGTTTCACTGTTTGCTCTATCACTCGAAACAATTTAAAGTCACACAGAAGATAATAAAAGTGTGTTTTATTTATTAGTCCAGGAGCTAAGGTATCAGCATTAGATATTCTAGGTTATCTATATAAAGGCCTACGGGCAATAAAAAATAGTAAACATATTGCCGAGGTAGGGACAGTGCACAGACATGCCAAATACAGAACATCTTAAGGTGAAAAACTTTCTCCTTACTTACAACAGCTTTTGGATTACATCTTGTGCGCTAGCCAGACATTGCACTTTCGCTTCTCAGTTCAAACTCTAGGTGGGTATGCCGAAGTCGTACAGCAGAGGCAACGCCGTTAGCGTTTTTCGTAGCCATGTCTATGATCCGCGGTCCCCGAGTGAGTCCCTATTTCGAGTAAACTGCGATTTCTATGGTCTTTCTTACGTAGTTTGTAACGTTGTTTATATTTTAAATCGCTAAATATATAATGTATTGTAAGGTATACTCACCCTGTACTTACAGCTACAATTTGTCTTCTTTCTAAAACTTTGCTTTCTTTTGTCAAGTTTCGGAGTTCTGCATTGGGACATATGCCTAATATAAATACAATACTGTAACAAAGAATTTGCTTGTATGCTTTGTTTCTTTGATATATTTTTTAAATTTAACAAATGATACTGCACGGGTAAATGTGAGAATTGATACCTTGCTTGACCAGCGAACGCTTTTGCGCACCTTTTAAAAGAGTTTTGCCACTTCTGTTACCCCTGAACATCACAGGAACGGTGAAAATTTGAACTGCATGTCTCTATTCCATAGTGCAATCATCGGTCAAACACTTAGGGGAACGCAGATTTCCTAAATACGAAACTATATTTGATATCTGAATACCTTCCCGTTTTTTAACATTATTTAACTATTTATTATAGTGTTATATTAATCTTAGCAATCCCAAGACCGCTTAAAAGCGTCTCACGAGTTTTTGTTTCATTTTTTTATTATCTCATGGCTAATATAGCTTTTCTTCGAATATTAATAACAGGCCTGTACCCGCTGACAAAAAGCATTGAATGAACTCTTTGAGATTCCAAATCTCAGATTACACTTTACCACCACCCTTGGTATCAACCTCAGCTTGAATACTTTCAGAATCAACTGCACCAGTAATTGAAAAAAAACATTTTTAGGACATTCGACTTAAGAGAAATTTAACTTGTCATTCAGTCGTATCGTAATATTACGCTAAAGATTCCGAAAGTATTCTTACATTCAGAACAACCTGGTATTTGATTCTCATCTGTTCAGAATACTAAAGAGGAGTGGAAAGGCCTTCGATAACTATTGTAGGCCCGTGGAGCATTATCCCCTTTACTTCGGCATGCCAAGATATAGTGAAGCATTTGACCCTTGTAGCACTTTTTAAGGACTATTTACATGAGCTCCTATTAAACCCTAACTTACTGTCACTTCCAGACACATATTAAGTTAAAGTTAACTGTAAAATTGTTTCGAAACACTGGCAGCCCTATAATTTTGAACATCTGGAATTTCGCCCTTTCTAAAGACAAGTAAATTTATTGGTTGAAACGTCTTATTTCACTGCGTCCGTTTAGCGTTAATCAATATATAGAACTAGAGAGTGTATCTTAGTTACTCCATACCTACTAAATCTTAAGGATACGTAAGATAGTCTAGGTTAGAAACAGAGCATAGACACGCTTCGTGCTGAGTACCTAGCTGTCTAAAGTAATGCTATTACATACAACCACCATAAAAATGCTCCAGCTAGTGTACTGCAGTGTGGCAGAATACAAGCGTTACACGCGATGAAGTAATACATTTTAGGGTTTATAAAGATAATTTTGTATGTAAAGATAATTAGGTTGTTGTTTGATGGGTAAAAGTACATTTATCTTCACTTTGAACCGCTTTAAGATATTTTTTTTGGTATTGATCTGAACTATTCGTTCCATGGGAGCGTCATTTGAGTATGATTAGCACGTGAAGCAAACGCAAATTCGACAAGAAGCGAATATATTCTACGTGGCTTCTTCAACATTTAGTACCCGACCTAAAACCAAGTGATTTGAGTAAGCTCAGGTTTTCTGTGCACTACATGCTGCTAACTTAAGAGACTCATGCATTCTCACCAAGTTTGCATTGCTTTAGTTCAGATAAATTCAAAGTTTGTGTGAAAATATGTTATAATAATAGAAGTTTTCAAGATATTATGCTTGCAATGTTAAGCCTGTATTTAAGCATATATAAATATATGCCTTAATACCGGTAGTCTTTTTCGTAAAAATAGAGGGATTATAGGGACTAACTGCCTTTTTTAACTGCGCCAACAAGTGCAACTCTTTCCCGGCTCGAACAATCTACACATGATTCTTTTCTTGTATATTATTACTTCGAGCTTACCTGTTGAAGTAGCATCTGATCATCATCGAAGAAACCGTCATCAAGGTCTACGCTGCCACTTACTAGGGACGGCACAGCAACTAGTCCCACGCCCTTTGTAGAGGCTTGAGTGACCAGCAGTTCGTTTTCAACATTTGAAAATATCCATGAGGTTGCAGTGGTATGATTGCTTAGAGGTAATCCTTTATGCATGAGTTTGATCGTTGATAAAACTTCCTTTGCTGTTGCATCAGTGCTAGCTCTGCCTATTTGCTGTTGATCTTTATAAACAGCATTTGCATATCGATCCTCATTTACTTCGTTAATTGTGAACAGAGTTAGCGGAGCCAATGATCGAGATCGTTTTCGAAGCCGTGAATGAAACGACATCTTACTAGAAAGTTTTTATGATTTTCATTAAGAAGATGGTATTTTCCTTTTTTTTGTTCACTGTTTTCGATCGACAGCGTATCCTTATCAATACTTGAATTTGCCACAGTAAGTAAGAAAATTAAGGAAAAATTATTCAACCGTTAACCTCCTAGTCTAAACAAATTAGTGCTTCAGTTAGATTCATACAGTACGATGTTAGTGTACTCCTATTCCCTCTTTTCATTGAGGTTCATTTTTAAATGCAATATTAATTCTTTTCTCATTTTTCAAAGCTTGATGATCACGTCTTGACTTGGAATGTACGTGGCTAAAGAAGAACACTCCTAGAAAATGATTTCAAAATAACCCTCGTATTGCTAATGTCTAAGTATGCTGACTTTATATTCAATCCAGGGCTATTTCCATATCAACCTTCATTGAAATCTGTAGGTTATATGGTCCGTTATCTTGTATAGTGCACATTTACTCCATGCCCGTGTAACTTATTTTGAATAACTATTTGTCATTCTCGGCACATTATTGCCTGCATTGGTTTTTAACAACACGTACGTACAACAAAATCAAAATCAATGGTACTAGATCCGCTTGCAGGGTACTGCCGGACTGATTGGTTGTACCCAACCGTGTGAGCTTATAAGCGATGAAAGTTTTTCGCCATTCGTTCGTTATATAAATTTTCTTATGTTTTGATTTTGTAGTAATGAGACAAATGCAGAATCGTGGTGAATTACTTGTCGTCCATCGCAAAATATTAATTATTATATATTTAGGGGCATGTGGTCTGTAGGTTGCGTTTTATCGAATCATTTGTCTTAAAGGCATTCATATGAGAAAAACACTGTCCAATCACCGATGCAGTGTCGATGGGCCCATCAGCAAGACTTGGTCAACAGAGCTTCAAGTAATATGTGTAATAGCCTTAGGCTTCCAGATTGTTTGGTATTACATTGACTAAATGTATATTGTGGTTCTAATAGTTAGTTGAGAAAAAAGCGCAAATATTTGGAACGTGTGTGTTAGGCACAAATTATGAATACATCTAGAAATTCAAAACAAGCGTGTACAAGAATGTGTTTGTCTCAAATTTTCTATATTGAGTTCTCGTATAATGACAATAATTACTACTGTAGAGTAAATAATATCGGATTTGAGCGATTTAAAAAATACTAATAGAAAATGAAGATTTAGTACTCTTTCCGTAGATTGCGTTAAAGTACGATTTGTTAATTTTCCTGAAAGTACAAAAACATCTTGCTCTATAAGATAACTAAGTAAAATTATTTTCACAAGTCCCTTCACAGTCACAAACACTTAATAAACGATGGAACATCGCTTTGTATCCATGTTTCACAATAAAGTGCGCTTTTTCCGTTTAATTCCAGTCATTAGAATTTTAGTCTGCCGTATCTTCAGGTCAACTAAACAGCTAACATCATAGCCCTTAGCAAACACTAATAGCACAATAACTGTCACTTGCCCAGGAACAGTAAGGACACAACCCAATGAATAAGTGAGCACTAAAAATTGGGCAATGTCTGTTGTTACCGCTAAACATCGCCTATCCCCAGTGTCTGTTATCTATAAAACACTAACGTCATAAGAACTGTTGGACCCTCACAAAACAAAAAGCAAAGAAAACAACCGGAAGAACGGGAAGGTGTTAGAGCAGCCTAATCTTACGAAACAACGTAATTTTTATATTTGCTAATGGTCCTTGTATGGTGGAATGCTAAAGTGCTTGCCCGTAAACTCAGGCACACGCGAGGCAGCCCAGATTCGAAACCAGGTGTAAAAACACTTTGCTTCGTGCTGGAAGTTAGCTCTCTGAGTCAATGCTGCAAACGGCTGGAATCGTCCTTTCTATGCCTTTCTAACCTATTACAACAGTTATTTTCTTTTTCCACTAGAGGAAATAGAGCTAAATGATTGGTGACATAGCAATAAACTAAACTCCATTGAATGTTTAACGTGCTTATTTCTGGCATATTATTAAATATTTTCGGTAATTAAATTCCCTCTCAAACAACACAGGAATTGTGAAATTTAATGCGTTATTTCATGTCTTCGGCCTCCTACAAAAAAAAAAGCCTAAAAAGTATCATATGTACGCTACTAATGATAGCAAAGCTCAAGGTAGTGTTTCAAGAAACCGCAGTTTATTGGATAAGCACAACCGGCTGATTGAAGTTTGTATAGTTTCAAAAATTCATGCGGAGCCTGCCAATAATAACCCAGTAATCGGGTGAACAAAGCGGCACTGAAAGCAAAGTCAAGGATGTATTTTTTGTCTCAGGAAATTTAACTTGTCTTTCAAACTAGGTCGTGTGAAAAGAATCTTTCAAGTTTTTCATTTAAAGTTGGATCGAAAGATTTTCGATCCTGGCTGGTGATAAATACTTGAAAAGTGATAATAACGCTTCCCAGAAATAACCACTGACCGGTAAAATCAAGCTTTGAGAAGTTGTCTATTATGTCGCACTTTTAGTGACCACGTCGCCAACATACTGAACGGTTATCTATCTTGATCAAGTTTAGGAGCTTCAATTCAGTTTAGACCTTTTTTTATTGTAAAATCAGCTTTAATATCTTTAATCGTTATGCTCTCAGGTGCATGCAAAGCATTACTTATACTATCAACACCTGCTATTCGGGGCGGTTATATAAAGCCCCTGTTGTACGGATCGTTCAAAAGAATATTGCCTCTATTTATTATTACATACTAAGGAAATATTTTCAGATTTATGGCTGTGATGTTGTGCTCGCATGGGATGTAAAACAACATTTTTCACAGTAATGCGTTTTAGTGCAACTTGATTCATCAATATATTTGCTACGGGGTCTAAATTTGGGAGCAATCAAAGCTATATTTTTATAGGAACGATATTTATATGTATATATGCACAACATGTTTATCAGTCTAATATATCACGTTTTTATTATCATATTATAAAGATGAGAAATGGCTGCAGTGGCTGTATAGACCGAAAATCAATTCATATTATTCAAAATTAAGATAAGCGGCATTTAGCGTATTTCGATTACCGTGCACAAATACTCTCTGAGTCAGTCATGACAATGTAAAACTTACCGCTAGGAAGCAAATACTGTTGACCTGTCGGTATTATCAAAGGCTTGTTCATGATACTTCCAAAAATGTTTATTTTCCAAAAATGTGTGCTTTTAATTGTGAAATTACCAATAAAGGAATAAATGAGGCTGTTCACATCGTTAAAACTGTGTAGACTTTTTAAAGGGCTCAGTGTATTTAATGAGAAAATGTTCATATTTTATATAATATATATATATATATATATATATATATATATACAGCTCAGATCAATTCACGTATGATTAAAAAGATCGTTACAACAGATCAGACACATTTTTGCATCATGTCAACAATAGTCATAAAACATGTTTTTATATGTATAGCTCCCTTACACTTAGTACACTATAGGGGAAGGTGGGTCTATATGAAACAGGAGCTACATGGGTTACTCCTTTTTTAATTGGAAAACATCGATTTGATTCCTAATTGAGATCTTAATCTTATGACAGTTTTATCTTGTATGAGCACAGATTAGAAATTATGTGCAATCCACATGACTGTATTTTTGACCAAATTTTAAAAGGTTAGAGTGCATGGGATAACTATGTATTCTTTCGAATTTTACCGAACTTTTTTAAAAAATAAATATATAAGATCATTCACCTGAATTATCGGCCACCATTATTTTAATTTCATATGAAACAAAATATTGTTGACTGCCTTTTGTACAGAAAGTCGCCTCTGAGTAGAACTCACCATAGTAGTCACATATATATGTGTATATATATCATACGAAACTAACATATCGTATTTGAGGGCTTATATCTCACATCCATAGTATTATTTTTGAAAGAAGTGACGGTGGTATCCTTATAAAACATTATCAAAAAGAATTGCTACCGTTGACATTACCCGAACGGTCTGTTCTATTGATCAGCACTCAGTGCTATGCGTAAGACAATCATTTAAAACCAGATCCATCCCCCCTATTTGTACAAGAACGACCAAAATCACAACCCTTGCTTCGTTTAGTGAAAATTTCCGTAATCGTTAATCGCTAGTGGACCCTTAAAATGGTGCGTACATGCAACAAAAAACAATACTAAAGTCAGAGTGCAGCCCAAGGCAGCTACGGTTGTTGCAGATAGAGCCTTTTCCGTTAAGGAACCAGCTTGGGAAGACAACCTTGCAACGGTGGCTTAAAAGTGTGTAAAAAGCTGCAGATTCTTATACTTTAAATGAACTTGCTACAAATTACTAAGCAACTGTACAAAAACTTACTCGACAGTCGGTACCGTACTTTCATAGCATGACATGATTAACCTCTTTTACGCGAATTTGAAAAAAATATCCCTTGGATGTACAATAAGTTAAAAAAAAGGAGCGATTTAAGTTTTCTTCGCAAGTTGCGAGATTTGAATGGAATTATACAATTTTATTCTTTCAGGAACTTTAGTTTGGACAACACGTCTTTTCTTACGATAGCGAACTTTTCAAAAGTGATTGCGCTTAAAACAACGAAACGGGTTGCTCAAATCAGATTACAAAAACACGGAACTGTTGTTACAGTGCTCATTTTCATGCCTGCAAGTCCAAACGCAATGCGGTTTTTTCTTTAGGGCGCACTTCAAGGAACACTTGCGAATGGGTGCACTCGTTAGAAGCCAAAGTTTTGGTACATTTGTTCACATATATCACACAGGAAATGGTTGAAGATTGTTTTAAGTATTTTATTGCGACCAATCGCTGTTTTCTAGGGAAACCATGTCTGCTAATGGTAAGTAGCCACGGAACTCACACAGACCTAAGTGCAATCAAGTTAGCTTTGTGTAAGGGCGTCCACGTTGTTACATTTTTTGCACACTGCTCGATCAGGTTACAACCTCTAGACGTAGCAGTCTTTAGGCCATTAAGAGTTCGACTTCGTACAGTTCAGACCTTTCTTACTATATACAGTAGAAGGGTCACAATTTATGGTATAGCCGGACTGGTGTATGCGGAAATTACGTACCATGGCAAATATCCTTAGGGAGCCTCAAAAGGTAAATACCTCTTTGCTTAACTAAAATATATTCAAAGAACGTAAATTTCTTCTTTTCAATGTCGCAGACTGATAATCAGCCGAAGGCATCGGGCCGTTACGGAATACCATTTCAGCGGGACAATCATTCATCATCAGAAATGGAGACCCTGTTGCGGACAGGCACGTTGTCGATTGTCACCCTATCGCAAGTTGCAACACACAGACGGCGTAACTCGTCTGTTGCTTTCATAAAACATAGTTCCGTTTCTGGATATATCAGCTTGGTCACTTCAGCTGTTCTACAAAAGCAACTTTATTCAAGTATTTTGTCCAAATTGTGCTACTCCTTTGTATATCAATATCTATTCAAATTGAATACTTAAGAAATCTTTAATTGATACGTAAAAGCAATATCTGACCTCTCCAATCACTCTAATTGGCTCTTTCGCACAGAAACATTAAGCCCCATTAAGTCTGACATAAACGTCTCAAATTGATTTTATCTCAAAAACAAACGAGTTATTGGTTCCGCACCTTAGGGCACAAGATAGAGAAGTTTTGTCGTAGCAGATTTTTCTAAAAAGCGGCATTTAACACATGTTGGCCTATTTAGTCCACCCTTTTAATACATTATTTTAAATTGTTATCAGAGCACGTTTTTTTGTATTGGTGTAAGATGCGTCAATTGGATATCTTTTTGACTCTTTATAGAAGCATGTACTAGATCATGTGCGAATACTTTATGCTTTCTCGCGTGTTCCGCCATGAATATAGGATGTGTCAGATCAAGCAGGTCCACGAACATAATTCGACACAAGATATTATGTTCAATTAAATAATGCAAATGTAGCCTTCGTCATGTAATATATTTCTGAATAAATTTAAATAACCGGTTTCCATCATATTACAAACAGCAGTTCTTAAACAGTGGGCGAGGTTACATTTTATCTGAATTTTGTATACAAAAGTATGCTGCATTTTTTCTGTTAACAAATTCTGCGTTGGTGTGGGATCCTGTATGGCTCAAGTATACACAAATAGGCCTACAAAATTAGATCATATAATCAGTTTGTGTTCCACGCAAGATAACTTCAATATAAAACAACGTAGTAACTAGCATTTATAAGAAATCAGATCTTCTTACCGAAGATTAGGCAAAGCAGAGAATCTAACCCTGGTTAATTAATAAGGTCTGGCATACAATTCCATCCGTGTGTTCCAGACGATAATTCCATCTTGAGTGTGTACAGTTTAAATGTCGTACTTCTATTTTTAGACTAACACAAAATATCAAAAGCACTCTGTGTGGAGTTTAGTTTTTACTGCCTGTGTAGATGCTACCAGTCCCATGTCACCAGCATT